CATACCACCCAACAAAGCAACACTGAGAGCAGAGTGCATCCTTTGGACCTGAGAGGTTCCTGGGCTGAGATGCTCTCAGACCAAGGGAAGACTGATGACAAGGACTTTCCCCCAGAGCTAAAACAGAAAGCCTTCCCCTGGAGCTGACACCCTGAATTCGGACTTGTAGCCTACTGGACTGTGAGAGCATAAATTTCTCTGTTAAAGCCATCCACCTGTGGTGTATCTGTTAGAGAAGCACTAGAACTAAGACAGAAGCACTCCCTTTAATAATTCTTGTGGTTCTGTTTTATCTGGAAATGTCATTTTGCCATTATATTTGAGAGAGAGTTTTGCAGGATATATTATTCTTGACTATTTTTTTCTTTCAAGGTTTTAAATACATCATCCCACTTCCTTCTTGCCTGCATGGCTTCTGCACACTAATTAGAGCTTAGTCTTATTGTTTCCCCTTTGTATATGACTTTTCATTTTTCTCAAGCTGCTCCCAGGACTCTTTGTCTTTGGTTTTGGCGAGGGTGATTATGATATGTCTTGGTGACTTCCTTTTGGGGTCTATCCTGTATGAGGTTCATTGAGCTGCCTGGATGGTCAGCTTTTCATCTTTCATTTTAGGGAAGTTTTCTGTCGGCAAATCTTCAACGATCCTGTGTTTTCAATTTCTCCCCTTGTTCTGGAACTCCAATCATGCACAGATTTTTGCTCTTGATTATATCCCACATAGTTCTTAGGTTTTCTTCATTCTTTCGTCTGATTTTTTCTCAAAGTGGCATCCATGGATTTGTCATCAAGTTTACTGATTCCGTCTTCCATTGTTTCAAATTTGTTCCTAAAACTTTCTATTCTCAGATAGAATGACAACAGCAAAAAAGCCCACAAACACCAGAAGAAAGGAAATAATAAAGATTACAACAGAAATAAATGAAATAGAGAACAGAAAAACTGAAAAAAATCAACAAGACCAAAAGTTGGTTCTTTGGGAAAACATTAACAAAATCAAAAAACCACTGACCAAACTGACAAAAGAAAAACAGGACAGGGAGTAAATAATTGAAATAAGGAGATGGGAGAGACTGCAACATACCCACCTGAAATAAAAAGGGTAATAAAGAATACTATTAAAAATTGTACTCCAACAAATTTGAAAACCTAGAGGAAATGGACAAATTTCAAGAAACACATTACCTACCTAAACTAACACAAACTGAGATAGAAAATCTGAACAGACCCATAACAAGAGACTGAAGAGGTAATAAAAAAAACTGCCAACAAAAAAAGCCCTGGCCTAGATAGATGGCTTTACTGAAGAATTCTACCAAATGTTCAAAAAGAGCTCAAACCAGTACTACTCAAAATATTTTAGAGCATAAAAAAGGAAGGAATACTCCCAAATTTATTCTGTAAAGCTAGCACAACTCTGATACCAAAGCCAGGGAAAGACACCACAAAAAAAGAAAATTACAAACCAAAATCTCATGCATATAGATGCAAAAATTCTCAACAAAATTCTGGCCAACAGAATTTAGCATCTTAGCAAAAAATATAGCAATACACCATGGCCAAGTGGGATTTATACCAGGTATGCAAGGCCGGTTCATATAGCAATACACCATGGCCAAGTGGGATTTATACCAGGTATGCAAGGCCGGTTCAACATTAGAAAATCAATGTAATCCAACACATAAATAGAACAAAAGAAAAGAACCACATGGTCATATCAACTGACGCAGAAAAGTCATTTTATAAAGCCAACACGAATTCCTGATAAGAACTCTCAATAAAACAGGAATAGAAGGGAAATTCCTCAACATCATAAAGGGCATCTACACAAAACCAACAGCCAACATCATTCTCAATGGAGGGTGGCTGAAAGCATTCCCCCTGAGAACAAGAATAAAACAAGGATGTCCTTTATCACCACTCCTACTTTAACACTGTGCTGGAAGTCCTAGCTACAGCAATAAGGCAAGAAAAAGAAATAAAGGGCATCCAAATTGGCAGGAAGAATACTATCCCTATTCAAAGACGATAAGATACTCAAATAGAGAACCCCAAAGACTCCACAAGAAAACTACTGGAACTGATAGATTCAGCAGAGTAGCAGGATACAAGATCCACATACAAAAATCAGTTGGATTCCTATACATCGATAAAGACAACTACGAAAAGGAAATCAGGAAAACAGTATCTTATAATAGCCCCTGAAAAGATAAAATACTTAGGAATAAATATAACCAGGGATATAAAACCACTATACAAAGAAAACCACAAAACACTATTCCAAGAAACCAAGAGAGACCTATATAAACGGTAAAACATACTATTCTCACGGATAGGAAAACTCAACATTGTGAAAATGTCAATTCTACCCAGAGCAATCTATAGATATAATGCAATCCTGATCTAAATACCAACAATATTCTTAAATGAGATGGAAAAACTAATCACCAACTTTATATGGAAAGGAAAGAGGTCCCAGATAAGCAAAGCATTATTGAATAAAGAGAACAAAGTAGGAGGCCTCACACTACCTGATCTCAGAACCTTCTATACAGCCATGGTAGTCAAAACAGCCTGGTACTGGTACAACAGACACACAGACCAGTGCAACAGAATCAAGAGCCCAGATGTAAATCCATCCACCTATGGTCAACTGATCTTTGACAAATGACCAAAGTCCAGTAAATAGGGAAAAGACAACGTTTTTAACAATTGGTGCTAGCAAAACTGGATACCCATCTGTTAAAAAAACCTCATGCGTCACAACATGCACAAAAACTAACTCAAAATGGATCAAAGACCTAAATATAAAACTTAAAATGATAAAGATCATGGAAGAAAAAAAAGGGATGCTAGGCGCCCTATTACATGGAATATAACACAAACCACAACAAACAATGCACAAACACCAGAAGATAAACTAGATAACTGGGAGCTCCCCCAAACTAAATATTTTTCTGCCATCAGCTACTCCTCTGCTAACTGGACAAGCTCACAGTCAGTACAGCAGCTTTGGGACCACTCAGCTCTCACATGGCTCTGGTTCTCCACCATCTCAGCTCTTAGCCAGCTTCTCTTCTGCCATCCAGAAGTCCTCTGCAGAAACCTCTCCATCTCAGCTATATATATATCCTGATTCTCCCTCACAATACCAGAGTTCAACCATCCTCAATTACCCATGAGATGTCAATCAACTCATGTCTTGTTAATTATCAGGCAAGGCTGGAAAAAAAAAATCTAAACATCAAGTTGTTTATACTTTACCCAGAAAGTGTCAATCAACCAGGGGAATCCCTTGGGCATAAATAACAATCTTTTTTGGGTAGAAAACAACATAGGAACCCCCTCCCTCCTCCCACGTTCCTTCTCCAACAAACTGGAGCAAAGGTAACAACTCAGGGGTTAGAGGAAAAGTATCACCCAAGCTGTTTTCCGAAAAACAGACCACAGCCAAAGGGCACATAGAGGAACTGATTTCATGACAATAGTAAAAAATAAATAAATAAAACTATAAAGGAATGTATGATCTCCTTAAGGAGGTGAGACATGGGCACTGAAAGAAAGACTTGTTTCCTAGGATGGTTATACCCATTAAAAACATCACCGCCAGTGGATTCCGACTCATAGTGACCCTACAGGACAGAGCAGAACGGCTCCATAGAGTTTCTAAGGAGCAGCTGGTAGATTTGAACTATCGACCTTTTGGTTAGCAGCCATAGCTCTTAACCACTGTGCCACCAGGGCTCCAGGATGGTTAAATACCCTTAAAAGTAGTCCTTACTCCAAAAATCTGTGCGTAGTGCCAATGGTTAATACACTTGGCTGCTAACCCGAAAGACTGCAGGCTCAAGCCCACCTGGAGGTGTCTCGAAAGAAAGGTCTGGTGATCTACTTTAAAAAATCAGCCATGGAAATTCCTAGGGAGCAGAGTTCTACTCACACACGGGGTCACTATGATTGGGAATCTACTCAATGGACAGGAAACTGACAAAAGAAATTTTTAGGATTTTCTAACTCCTAAATACTCTAACTAAACCCCTTGTACCAATCACTCCATGTCTATTTCACCTAATATAGATATTGCATCATCCTTTGACTAGATTACCTGCAGTATGAAGATTCCACTTAAATACAATCCAACTAACTCAATGCTCTCTCCAAGAGGGCATGGACTTTCTTCTTTCTGATTCACCACTGTAACCTCAGCTCCTGGAAACTGGGCCAAGCACCAAGGCAGTATGTGACAAATACTTGTTACATGAAACGAATGAACTCAATGTTAACACTACTGTTTTTTAGGTCTGTCTGCATGACAGAAAGTTCTAAAATTGATGGTAAACATTCTGGTATTCAATTGTTCCTTCACACTGATCTGGGGGAAACTCAACTGATATGTATGTTCTCCCAATCCCACCAATCCAATACTACATTTTTGCAACCAACCATCTCCCATGGCTTTTTACGTTAATAGCAAAATTCAAGACACTGATTATCTTTTCTGTTTCAAAAATCCAGTTTTTATTTCCTCCACTCAAATGAACTCACTTTCATTCATTCCACTGGTACAACAGAACAATTAAAGCATTTGCATTAACATCAGATTATGTTATGATATCAAAGCACGTATTTATGTAGAATGAGTGTACCAGGTTTTCCCAGTCTCTGCATTCATTATGATTTCCCTCAGGATACACTTTGTAGCCATACGATGAGGTAGAAATTTTTGCTCAAACCTCCTCCCCAGTCAAGTGTTTCTGACTTTATCCTACCTGTTTTATGTGACATAAAGTAAGAGGTAATTGATCACTGAAGGCACTATAACATTCGCTGCATTCACCAGGTTTCCCTGTATAAATTCTGTTATCTCCTGAGGGTTCACATCTGGCAAAAGGCTGTCCCACAAGGACTATGTCCCGATTTGTTAGGAACCCATTGGTGTTTACTGATGTCTGAGCTGCCACAGAACGCATTTGCATAGCCACTGTATTATCAGGGTTTTTCTCTTGCATGAGATCACTGGTATGCGCCTCACTGTGGAAGGGTCTTCCACCTTGACTGAACATACATGTTTCTCTCTAGTGTGTATTCTTTTATGTGAAAAAGGGAAGATATACAGGCAAAAGTTTCTCCATACTCATTGCAGCCATATGGTGTCTCTCCTATGAGATCTTTGATGTACAATAAGCTTTGGCTTCTTGTCGAAGGCTTTCTCACATTCACCACATTTAAAGGGTTTCTCGCCCGTGTGAATTTTCTGATGTACAATGAGACTTGACTTCTGAGAATAAAATTTTCCACATTCACTGCATAAAAAAGGAGTCATTCCTGTGTGAAATCTCTGATGTGCTATGAGGCACATCTTCTGACTGAAGGCTTTACCACATTCATCACATACATAGGGTTTCTCTCCAGTATGAACTCGGTGATGAATAATGAGATTTCCTTTCCGGGTGAAGCCTTTTCCACATTCTCTACAAATATAGGGTTTCTCTCCAGTATGAATTCGCTGATGAAGAGTGAGATCATTTTTACGGATGAAGCCTTTTCCACATTCACTGCATATGTAGGGTTTCTCTCCAGTATGAGTTCGCTGATGAACAGTGAGATCTACTTTATGGATGAATCCTTTTCCACATTCACTGCATACGTGGGGTTTCTCTCCAGTATGAGTTAGCTGATGAATAGTGAGATTTCTCTTCCGGATGAACCCTTTACCACACGCACTGCATAGATAGGGTTTCTCTCCAGTATGAGTTCGCTGGTGAACAGTGAGATTTCCCTTCCGGATGAAGCCTTTTCCACACGTACTGCATATATAGGGTTTCTCTCCAGTATGAGTTCGCTGATGAATAGTGTGATCTCTCTTCTGGATGAAGCCTTTACCACATGCGCTGCATAAATAGGGTTTCTCTCCAGTATGAGTTCGCTGATGAACAGTGAGATCATATTTCTGGATGAAGCCTTTTCCACATGTAGTGCATATATAGGGTTTCTCTCCAGTATGAGTTCGCTGATGAACAGCGAGAACATTTTTCCGGATGAAGCCTTTTCCACATGTAGTGCATATATAGGGTTTCTCTCCAGTATGAGTTTGCTGATGAACAGTGAGATCATCTTTCCGGATGAAGCCCTTTCCACATGTACTGCATATATAGGGTTTCTCTCCAGTATGAGTTCGCTGATGAACAGTGAGACCTACTTTATGCATAAAGCCTTTTCCACATTCACTACATATATAAGATTTCTCTCCCATATGAGTTTCCTGATGTTTATTGAGGTGTGACTTACGGAGATAGGCTTTGTCACATTCTGTGCATTTATATGGTTTTTGTCCTTTATGAGTTGTGTGATGATGTTCAATGAGCTTGAACTTTTTAAAGAAGGTTTCCCCACATAGACTGCATCTACAGGGTTTCTCTCCGGTATGAATGATCTGATGCTCAGTAAGGAAAGACTTCCTGATGAAGGCTTCCTCACATGTACTACATACATGTGGTTTCTCTGTTTTGTGAGTTTTCTGATGCTGAATGAGTTGGGACTTAGTACTACTGGATTTCTGACTCTCACGGAATTTCACTTCAGTACAACATTGCTCATGGTCTGCAGGAAGAAAGGTTTTCTCATATCCATTAAGCTCAGCAGAGTTCTTTATTGCATTGCTTCTGCTCTGGTTGAATGCTGGTAAAGTTAAATTTGATTTCACAGCTTTTCCATGTAAGTCAAACATACCATTATTTTCCCTTAAAGGAAACTGATTTCTTTGACGACGAACAATATTTTCCAATGTATTATGTTCATAGCATTGCTCCATTCTGTCCACCTTGCTTTCATTTTGCAAGTGCCCAAGCAGATGATCATCAACTCTCCAGGTTTCTAAGAAGAGAAGAGAACAATGAATCTTTCCATTGTCTTGATTTGCAATGAAGCTATTTTAAAAAACACATTGCTGTAAGGTGGAAACCTCTCATGTGAGTATAAAACACCATGCTTAATGTTACTTGCAGAATGAAAAAAATACAATCATATAAACAACCCAATAGTAAAAGCAGTTAGTATAGAAACAGGGTTAGACAATATATAATGAATGAATACAGATTTGGCTGCTTCGTTAAAAACACCTTGCAAAACATGCAGAGAACGTAAAATAAAAGCAAGTCATGGCCACTCGCAGACCACAGAGGTTCTAAGCCTCCTCATCCCAACTGGTGAAGGACAGATTCATTCACTCCACAAATTCTTCCTGAGAGACAACTATTAACCAGGCATAGTAAGGTATGTAAAGAATACAGAATGTGACATTTGCGAAAAACAATTTTCACCTCTATATAATAAAGGTGGGGCCCTAGCAGCAAAATGGTTAAACATTAAGGTCACTAACCAATAGGTCAGTAGTTCGAATCTACCAGCACTCCTTGGAAACTCTACGGGGAACAGTTCTGCTCAGTTCTATTAGGTCATTATGAGTTGGAATAGACTTGACAACAACAGGTTTTGGTACAGTAAAGGTATTGGGAACACACAAACATATTCCTTGTGTTTATGAAGCCTACATTACAGTTTGGTAAAGTACCAAAAAAAAAGCAAGGAAAACCATAGGGAAAGTAGCTGTAGATTGTGAAAAGTGGTTTTTATGAGAGGGCTGTACTTTACTGACTATGCAAAGGCATTTGACTGTGGGGATCATAACAAATTATGGACAACATTGCAAAGAATAAGAATTCCAGAACACTTAATTGTACTCACAAGGAGCCTGTACATAGATCAAGAGGCAGTTGTTCAAACAGAACAAGGGGATACTGCATAGTTTGAAGTCAGGAAAGGTGTGCATCAGGGTTGTATCCTTTCACCATACTTATTCAATCTGTATGCTGAGCAAATAATCCAAGAAGCTGGACTGTGTGAAGAAAAACTCGGCATCAGGATTGGAGGAAGACTCATTAACAAGCTGCGTTATGCAGATGACACAATCTTGCTTGCTGAAAGTGAAGAGGACTGGAAACACTTACTGATGAAGATCGAAGACCACAGCCTTCAGTACGGATTACACCTCAACATAAAGAAAACAAAAATCCTCACAAATGTACCAATAAGCAACAACATGATAAATGGAGGAAAGATTGAAGTTGTCAAGGATTTCACTTTAGTTGGATCCACAAACTACGCCCATGAAAGCAGCAGTCAAGAAATCAAATGATGCATTGCACTGGGCAAATCTGCTGAAAAGACCTCTTTAAAGTGTTAAAAAGCAAAGAAATCAACTTGAAGACTACAGTGAACTTGACCCAAGCCATCGTGTGTCCAGTCGCCTCATGTGTATGCGTAAGCTGTACAATGAGTAAGGAAGCCTGAAGAAAAATTGACGCCTTTGGGTTACAGTGTTGGTGACGAATACTGAATATACCATGAATTGCCAAAGGCATGAACAAATCTGCCTGGGAGAAGTGCAATCAGAATGCTCCTTAGAAGCAAGGATGGTGAGACTATGTCTCACATACTTTGGACATGTTATCAGGAGGGATGAGTCCCTGGAGAACATCATGCTTGGTAAAGTAGAGGGTCAGTGAAAAAGAGGAAGACTCTTAATGAGACGGATTGACACAGCAGCTGCAACAATGGGTTCAAGCATAACAATGACTCTGAGGATGGCACAGGACCAGACAGTGTTTCGTTCTGTTGTACACAGGGTCCCTACGAGTCGGAACTGACTCGATGGCACCCAACAAAAACAAGAAAGGGGTAGAGGAAACGGGGATACATTCTGAAGGAAGAGAAGGCTCACTGATGAATTCATTGTTGCCCGGGTGGGGTAAAAAATGCGAGGAATAAAGGTAAATGAATAACTTGTTTTTTCAGAGTGAGAGTAAAGCTGGTTCCTAGGAGGCAGAGGTTAAGTATGTCTCAAATGTCCAACGTTTCCCAACTGCTGTACCACTCCAGCATCTCTAACAACAAATACTCCTCCTCCCCTCAGTACTCTTCTTCCTGCCTCTGGGTTCTGCAATTCGCTGCAATATCTCACAGAACTCACAAACCATATCAAGGAAATGGCTCACACAGTTGTGGATGCTGGCAAGTCCCAAACCGTGGGTCAGGCGTAGTAGGCTTCTTCTGACTTACGCAGCCACCGGGGCTGATGAACCCAAATAGGCAAGTCAGATGACAGGCTGCTGGCTCACAAGGCTGCAGAAGATGGCGAATCAGGTCAGACAACAGGCTGCTGGCCCACAGGGCTGCATAAGCTGGCGAATCCCAGAATCTGAAGATCCAATAGCAGACCGCTGGCTCAACTCCCAGGAACCAGACGTCAGACAATGACAAGCTGGACGCAAGATCCAGATACAGAGTGAGAGAGAGTGCAACCAGAGCACCCACATATATACATTGGATACAGACCATACCCAGGGAAGGGCATGACTTGAGTAAGCGTGTGACCTGAGTCACACCCTCCTACAAGGCTGTGATTCTTGATACTCCCTATACTAATCCTGCCTCATTAACATATAGAATTTAGAATTTATAACAGAGAATGGAGAATAATTATGATAATTACATTAGATCACAAAACGGAAGATAGCTACATAATACTGGAAATCATGGCCTAGTCAAGCTGACAAGCAACATCAACCACCACACCTGGTTAGGATTCAATATATCTTATCTGCATGGTCCCACCCAACCATCATGTGAGAGTCAAAAAGACTATGGCTAACCAAAAAAACAAACCCACTGCCACTGAGTCGATTCCGACTCATAGCAACCATATAGAACAGAGTAGAACTGCCCCATACGGTTTCCAAGGAGCAGCTGGTGGATTCAAACTGTCGACCTTTTAATTAGCAGCCAAGCTCTTAACCACTGCACCATCAGGGCTCCAAGACTATGGATAGAAGTGTCATATTTAATTCACCGCACCGCAAACAAGGTTCATGGAATCCCTTCGGGGGTGGGACTATGCAAATAATGCATATGGAACCCTAGTGAGGGGATTGGTCAGTTTGCCATCCTGCGAGGCTTAAAAAGAGAGTGAATCCCAGAGCAGAAAGACGACCTCACTACTACCAAGAAGAAAAAGAGTCAGGAGTAGAGTGTGTCCTTTTAACCCACAGTCCCTGCACTGAGAACGTTTTAGACCCAGGAGACAGAGCTATAACACCAGAGGCCAGTGAGAAGCAGAAGCAAGCACTGCAAAACCCAGTGGCAGAGAAATGGGAACAGCAGAACCAGGAGACCAGCATGAGACATCTGTGGTGGTCTTCCTGGCTAACCGAGCAAGGCGGCTAGAGTGGGCATGCTGACCCACAGAGCTAGAAAACTGAGTACCCTTGGGTAGGAGGCTTGCTGGTAGAGTGGGGTGCCACTGGTTACTTATCAGCAAATCTAAAAGAGGCTTATAAGACTGGTCTCAGCAGGGCAGAGGCCAGCCTGATGGCTAAGAGAAGCTTATCCTGAGGAGGCTGAGAGGAGTCTGTCCTTAGGGGCCAAGAGGAGCCCTGCATGGTGGAGAAGAGCTGAGAGAGCTATCCTGCACTGAAGAAGGGAGAATCTGCCTACATACTTCCTGATCCTGAATTGTTTTTCCAACTGAGTCCATGAAATGAGCAAACATGGGGGTGCTGAAGCAATGCTGTCATAAGCTGAATCCAGACACATTCCTCTCACACCCTAAGGCACAAAATGCCAGCAAGGACTGCTTTGTCCACCAGCAAGAAAGACAGAAGCTGCAGATGGCTATAGGGCAGATTCTTAGGGGGGAAGGCCCTGTACATATCTGGCAAGTTGATTATAGTGGACCAATGACGCCAGTAGCACCAGGTGGCTACAAATGGGTCCTCAGAAGAATACATACTTATTCCGCACTGAACTTTGCATATCCTGTAATAGATGCAATGCCAAAAAGACTATTAAAGGACTAGAACAAAAGATACTATACCAATTTGGGCCACTGAGTTATATTTCATCAGACCAAGGAACACACTTTACAGCACACAGGCAGCAGCAATTGCCCAAGAAACATCGTACTAAACAGACCTACCATACTGCATACAACCCTCAGAGTAATGGTTTGCTAGAGAATTGGAATAGACAATTGAAACATTTGTTATCTAAAATGGGATGAGATATAGGCATGAAGGGCTGGCTCACACTTTCACGAGTATGTGCTCACACTCAACATGAGGTAGTGCAAAGGGAGGATAACCAAGAGACAGATTCCTATGCTTCTCTGGGAGGTCTGCGGAAGAGGGGGTAGGGGAGGATGCTGGTGTCACTGTACAGTTCTTCCCCATATCATCTAATGCAGTGCAATGGATCGCTTTTGTGTGGCCTTTCTCGCCATGGTCTTGTAACTCCCACCCAAGTGATTGGTGGGACTGTGAAAATAAGGTAATTGTAGCTCACCAAGAGGACTGGTCAGTTTTGCCATCCCACTAGTCTTAAAATGAGCAATCCCAGAGGCAGGAAGGAGAGGATCTCACCACTACCAAGAAAGAAAGGCCAAGAGCAGAACACATCCTTTAGAGCAAGGATCCCTGCACTGAGAAGCTCCTGGAAGCAGATGAGCAAGAGTGAGACAGTTTAACACTGAAGATGGCAAGAAGTGGCGGCAAAGAAACTGGCAGGAGATGGTACAGTGGGCTTCCTGGCCCAGAGTGAGAAACGTGAGTGCCTTTGGGCAGGAGGCTTGCTGGCAGAGTAGGGTGCCTCCAGGCAGTTAGTGGAGCTAGGTTTGCCAACTCATAGAGCTACAGCCAAGCACCTTTGGGCTGAGGCTTACTAGTGGAGTGGGGTATCTCAGGGAACTTACCAGCAGAGCTAAAAGAGCTTTGCAACACTTGCCCAAAAGGGCACAGGCCAAGGGGCCACAGAGAGGTGTCCCTGTGGGCAGAGGCTGAGAAGAGCCTATCCTGATGAAAGAAGTGTATCCTGAGCATTCCTGAACCTGAACTGTAATCTGTTACTTCCTTAATAAACCTCATAATCATGAGTATTATCAGTGAGTTCTGTATGGCCACTGCAATGAATTACTGAACTCAGCAGAGTGAAGAGTGCCATGGGAGGGACTGCTGGTGTCAGAATTGGTAAAGATGGCCGACGGAGGAGGCGTGTCTGACCTCTGCCTCTGCCTTGGGCTGTTGATGTTGATTCTCCTTTCTCCTTGTGAATTTAGAGGTCAGACACCGCCCTCACACCATTTTTATACCTAAAACTGCTTTTTTCCTGCTGGATGTTGCAGTCTCAGGACCAGGGATGCAACTGTGTGTGGGGGAAGCAGGAGTGATCCCTATGCAAGAGACTGTAACTATACACCTTGCAGCGAACTGAATTACTTAATATGGCCCTTTGAGCTGTAGTCTTTGTAACTCCTACCAAATGACTTGGTGGGACTATGCAAATGAGTGCTTGTGGCCCACCAAGTGAATTGGATAGGTTGCTAATAATGTAAATATGGTGCACAGCACCTTGTGGGGGTGGGACCACACAAATAAGGTATATGGAACCTTATTGAGGGGACCGGTCAGTTCTGCCATCCTGGTAGGCTTAAAGAGAGACACAGAGAGAGAAAGGAGCTGTAACACAGAAGACAGCAAGAGATGCCACAGAGAGATGGCAGGAACCAGGAGACCGAAGCAAGAGGGCTGTGGTGGAGTTTGCTGACTCATGGAACTAAAAGGTTGTAACAGTTGCCCTAGTGGGCCCCCAGCAGGGTCTGGCGGCAGAAGGTCCCCAACAGTGACCAGTGGCAGGAGGTCACCAACAGGGCCCAGTAGCCTGAAGCCCCCAGCTAGGCATGGTGGCAGCAAGACCACAGCACAGCCCAGTGGCAGAGGGCGAGAAGAAGCTGTCCTGATCAAACACATGTATCCTGAGTTGTTTCTGATCCTGATCCTTAATTGTATCCTTTTACTCCCGTAATAAAACCCTTAACTGTAAGTACACTTCGTGAGCTCTGTGAGACGTTACAACGAATTACTGAACTCTAAGATGACAGGGAGAGTACTGAGGAGAGGGAGTAGTTCGTGTTAGAGATGATGGAGTGGTACAGCAGTTCAGTAAAGTTGGACATTTGTGACATCTTTAACCTCCACCTCATAGGAGCTACCTTTCTGCTTATCCTTATAAAAAAACTTATTCATTTAATTCCCTAATAAATCCCATAAATATGTGCATGGTCTGTGAATTCTGTGCGGCCACTGCAACAAATTATCAAACTAGCAGAGCAGACAGTGCCATGAGTGGGGAGGTGGCTGGAGTCAAAAATGGTGAAACGCTTGGAGAGTGGAGGTATGTCTCACCACCACCTCATAGGAATCAGTTTTGTGCTGATCTTGAGTCTCATCCCTACTCTTGAAGTTAGACGAGGTCTGAAACTAGAATACAACTGGCTTCACAAACAGGATTACACTGACCTTAGCTGGACTGGCTGGGGAGTGCCACCAGGTTCATCCCTTAGTGGGACTGGCTGGAGACAATGGCCAGTCTGATCTTTACTAGCATTGGCTGTAGGGCCTGCCCATTAACTGATCTCTACCCAGACCGGTTGGGGAGACCTGCCCAGTCTGACTTTTACCTGGTTCGCCTGGGGAGCCCTACTCAGTCTTGAGGTCTGGCCTACGTGAAGGGCAAAAACACTGAGGATTTTGGGGGGGCCTCCTGACATGAGAGCCAAGAGGAGAAAGTGAGCTTGTCCTTTTGACATGGGGGCCCATTTGTTGAGACCCTCTCAGACTCAACTTAGAGAGCTGTAACAATTGCAGCTGCAATGGCAATGGAGGAAGTGCCTACAGTGAGATGAGAAGCTGTGGAAACAAGCAACCTGGATAGTGGCGGCAGAATATAAAGACAAAAACCTGGTCAGGACGTGTTATACTCTAAGGTATGGGACACCAAGAGAAGGGGGTTGCCCGCAGAGGAAGGTGTGGCACTAAGGGAGTTCTGCACAAGAACTGTTGTAAAGCCAGCCTAGAGTAACAAGTTATAATTCAGGTTCAGGAACACCCAGGATACAGTTCCCTGTTCAGGACAGCCTCTTCTTAGCCATGCCCATAGGCACGGCTTTCCCTAGTCCTCGGCCTCTGTCCTCCTCGGGCAAGTGTTACAAAGCTTTTTTAGCTCCAATGGTAAGTGCTCCGAGACACCCACTCTGCCAGTAAGCCTTGGCCTGAAGGTGCTCAGCTCTAGCTCTGTGGGTCAGCAAACCTAGCTCTACCAAGTGCCCGGAGGCACCCTACTCTGGCAGCAAGCCTTCTCCCCAAAAACATTCAGCTTTCTTGCTCCGTGGGCTGGGAAGCCCATCTCATCGTCTCCTGCTGTCTCTCCTGCCACCGTTTCTGTCACCACTTCTTGCTGTCTTTGGTGCTACAGCTCACTTTCTCTCTTGGTTCCAGAAGTTTCTCAGCACAAGAATCCTGAGTCGAAACGACATACCGCACTCTTGGCTCTTCTTCCTTGGTGGTGGTTCCTCTCTTTCCTGCCTCTGGGGTGGCTCATTTTAAGCCTAGGGGGATGGCAAAACTGACCAATCCCTTTGGTGAGCCACAATAACCTTATTTACACAGTCTTGCCCAATCACTTGGGTGGGAGTTACAAGACCATGGCGAGAAAGGCCATAGGAAAGCAATCCAACACACCACAACAGCGGAGCCCACTGAATGACATCGCAGCACAGTTCCTGGCTGAAAGGTTTCCTGGTTGACAAGAACGAACATCTGTTTCAGGGAGAGTAAGCACATGCCCTTGAGGTGTTGAGGTTATGTGCAGAAAACACTTGCAGAACTTGTCCTATGAGTACCTTAGTTTATATTCTTTGTTTACATACATTCCTTATATATATTTAAAAAAAAAACCCTTTGCCGTTGAGTCCATTCTGACTCATAGCGACCCTACAGGACAAAGTAGAACTGTCCCATATAGTTTCTAAGGAGTGCCTGGCAGATTTGAACTGCCAACCCTTTGATCAGCAGCCACAGCACTTAACCACTACGCCACCAAGGTTTCCCTTTCTTGTATCAGAGGTTGTCATTGCAGATACGGTGTTTCTGTGATTTCTCTGTGACCACTGTAATGGATTACAAAATCCATTAGAAAACGAGAGAGTGTTGAGAAAGAATGGCTGGTGTCAGAAACTAACGTACAAGTGGGGAAGTTGGGATATATTTGACCTTAGCATCACAGGAACCAGCTTTGGGCTGATTCTTATAGTCAGAGTTATTTTAGTTTATGATACAACTGAGAATGCAGAACGTTAAAAAAAAAAGTTTTTTCTAGTTAAAAAATCATCAGGAAGAGCAGGACTTTTAATGAAGAGACCCCTGCAGGTAGGAAACATTAAAGGTAACTGCCAGGATGGCTAGGATTTCAGATGTACAGTACTAAAAGATAACCTAAGCTGACAGAAGGCTTTCTGTCAGGACGATGATCCTAGTTCCTTGCAGATGTTGACAACTCACAGAGAAGTTTTGTCAAAATGAGTAAAATATATACAAACAAGTCTATGTTAGACAATTTCAAGGAATATGTCATTTGACAGTCTCCTCTAGGAAACAGATTAACTGATTAGATTGAAGGAAACTTTACAGGGTTAGGAGAACAAATTGGAAAATGGAAATCAGAACCTTTAGAAACCTTGGAGTGGGGGAAAAGACAAGCTAAGAAAGCAGATACAAGCACAATGAGAGACCAATTTACTGTGGGTGCAAAACATCCACGGTGGGGTTGGATGCTAGGAATGGAAATCCGTATTATTCAATGAGGGAGTAAGGTGTAATACTCTGAAGACAGTTATGAATTCAAAATTCTCTCTTTGAAGAGAGGCCTGGACAGTGGAATTTCACAGCAAGCATGGTGGAAAGATACGAAGGGAAAGATTTGAGAATCCTAGGAATAAGAAAATTATGGAAGCCAAAATGTCCAAACGTAGATCAAATAAACGGGGATCTGATCTCAGAAGCCAGAGAGGAGTATACATTTTTCTAACCTCCTGGAAAAAAAGACATCTCACGTGGGGAAAGGGATATGTGGAGGTACTTTTATCGGTTCTCAGACCCCTCACAGATGCGACGCCTTCTCTCACTTGAACGTGACTTCCACAGCCTCCCCTCCTTACCGCTTTTCGCTTGCTCACCTGAAAAGGTTCCACTATGGCTTTCATCTAATATAGTCCACGGTTGTTCTTGTTCCAACCTGGAGAGCACATCTGGTTTGCTAACTCGACACCCTGTTCATGGGAAATCACAGAATCTTAGAGTCACCAAACTGCCCTTGGGTTTGTGAAGACTGCAGAATGTTGGATTTGTGAAAAGACAATTTTCAATCATACAAAGTAAAGGTTTTTCTGTCAATAGTAGAAAGAATATACCCACTTATTTATGACTAGAGAGTGGACTGAGAATCTATCCCATCCAAGCACCACAGACATGCCTAAGGTTTCAGCAGCTGAGAAAGGAATGGCCAATGACAGGGCCAATGACAGGAGAGTTGTCCTCACCAATGGACACCAGGTTGCTATAGTTCTCCAACATCACATTCCAGAACAGGTCCTTCTGAGCAGGGTCCAGGATCTGCCATTCCTCCCAGGTGAACTTCACAAACACATCGCTGACTGTCAGTGACTCCTGTATTAAAAGGGCCCTGTTTAATGAAGTATCTTTCATCTGATCAAATGAATGAAATGTGAGGGAAGTTGTTCTGCTCATTTCCTCTATATAGGCTGCTGCACCTATATACCTAGGTTTTTCTTTAATATCTTATTAAAAAAAAAAAGCAAAATTTTAATAAACTATTCTACATTTTTGCATTCCATAATCTACCCACTCATGAAATGAGAATTTTCTATAATGTGTGGCGGTGGAAATGTCTTTGTAAGCCAGAAACATCTCCCATTTATACACACACACAGACATACATATATACTAAATAAACACATGTGAATATATATTAATAGAAGAGATAACAACATATTGTGAAATAAGACTAGTAGTAGTGGCAGTATCAGTAGCATTGTCAGAACCGAACTTCGAGAGTGATAATGATTAGGATCAGCCAAAAGGCTGATCCCTATGAGGTGGAGGCCAGACATACCTTCACCTTCCAATCTTTTACCAATTCTGACACCAGCCATCCCTCCCACAGCACTCTCTATTTCTCTTCTGGGTTCAATGATTTTTTTAAATGGTGCTTTAAGTGAAAGTTTACAGACTTAATTAGTTTGTCATTAAACAATTAATACATAAATGGTTTTTTGACATTGGCTGCCAAATCCGCGATGTGTCAACACCCTCCCCTTCTCCACCCTAGGTTCCCTGTTTCCATTCGTCAGTTTTCCTGTCCTTTCCTGCCTTCTCGTCTTTGCTTTTGGGCTGGTGTGTCTGATAATCTGGATATATGGCTGAAATATGAAGTATGTTCCTCACTTGTGTTATTGTTTGCCCTACAGACCTGTCTAATCTTTGGCTGAGGGTGAACCTTGGGAGTGACCTCAGTACTGAGTTAAAAGGGTGTCCAGGGACCATATTCTTGGGGCTTCTCCAGTCTCTGTAAAATCAGCAAGTTTGGTCTTTTTTTGTGAATCTGAGTTTTGTTCCATAATTTTCTCCAGCTCTCTATCCAGGAATCTCTACTGCGATCTCTGTCAGAGCAGTCAGTGGTGGTAGCTGGGCACCATCAAGTTGTTCTAGGCTCAGACTGGCAGAGATTGTGGTAGCTGTGGTCCATTAGTCCTTTGGACTAATCTTTCCCTTGTGTCTTTGGTTTTCTTCACTCTCCTTTACTCCAGCCAGGACGGGACCAGTAGATGTATCGTAGACTCGCAGGCTTTTAAGACCCTAAACACTACTCACCACAGTCAGACGTAGAACATTTTCTTTATGAACTATGTTATGCCAACTAAACTAGATGTCACCTGAGGCCATGGTCTCCAGCCCTCAGCCCAGTAACTCAGTCCCTCATTTGGATGTGTCTGTGATGCTTCTATGACTTTGCCTTGGTCAAGCTGTGCTGGCTTCCCCAGTATGGGTTTGGTGATTTGTTGCAATGACAGGTTCAGTGCATGACAGATCTCTCAGCTTCTCTCAGACCCCTAAGGACAGGCTACTCTTAGCCCTCTGACGACAGGATTCTCATGGTCCCCTCAGGAAATGCTCCTCTTGGCTCTGCCACCTGTCACTACCAGCTCTGCCGCTGGGCCCCTTCTGGGCTGGTTGCCACTGACTCTGCCACTGGGCCTCTTACTGTCTTCAGTGTTAAAGACCTTGACCAGTGTTACAGCTCTTACTGCAGGTTCTTGCCTCCCCCACCCCTCCTTCTTCCTGCTTTATTCCTTTTGCCCCTTCCTGCTGCTTCTTGCTTCTGTTTGACAAGCCTCTGTGGAGCTGGCTACCTGTATTTACAAACTCCTTGTCAATTTCAGGGCAAGCTATGAACTGATCAGTCTCCTCTTGGTAGTCCTCAGATACTTCTTTTGCATAGTAGGTATGGAGGGGCTACAACTCAGTTCATTTGCACAGTCTATTGACCAATCCTTGCAAGGTGCGTACCAATCACAAGGTAGGCTTCAGCCCAGGGCCAGGCAGAACGTATCAAACTAAGTTGTTTACAACTTAACCCAGGAAATGTCCATCAAGCTGGACAAAAGTATCAAAACACCTGGGGTTTCCAAAGAACCAAGGGAAAAGGTCATAAAAGTAACTCATTTCACCACACATATCAAATACACCAAAGAAATAATTAGTCAACTGTAATGTACAATTGAAGAAATTACCCAAAATGTAGTACAGGCAAAGAAAGAATATAAAGAAGTTAATAAACACAGAGTGAGAACGTCCACCTGTGGTGAAATGGGCTCCTTTATGTGGCCTTTTACCTTGGTTCTTTGCAAAAAGAGCTTCAGAGATTTTTCCTCTAATCCCTGAGAAGTTACCTTTGCCCTACTTCTCTACCCCAGAGAATTTGTTACATTTCTTGGATAAATTGTAAACACCATAGTTTGATACTTTTTGTCTGCTGGGCTGTAGCCTTCCCTGTGATTGGTATATGCACCCTGCAGGATTGATCAATATACTATGCAAATAAAGTGACTACAGACTATGCAAATGTGTCTATGGTCTACTGCTAGAGAACTGGTCCCTTCACCGCCCTGTGGGAAGGGTCATGCCTTGAAAACGACAAGGAGTTTGTGTATGTATGCAGCCAACTCCACCGGATTTTCAGACAGGAAGCAGGAAGCAGCAAAAATGAGAAAAGAGAAGAGAGAATCAGAGGAGGGAAGGAACCTCCTACAAGAACTGTAACATGGGACAAGGGCTAACTCTGAAGAAGTGAGAGGCTTGGAAGTGGCCTTAAAGCAGTGTCAGCGGCAACAAGCCTGGAAAAGGCCCAGCAGCAGTGCTGTCAGTGACAGGCCTGGAAGGGCACTGTAGCAGAGCCAGTGGCAACAGGCTTCATGGTCAAGAGGAGTCTCTCCTTAGGGGTGAGTGAGGAGCCTGTACTCAGGAGGCTGAAAGGCAGCTTGTACTGAGGGGGGCTGACGAGGTCTGCATGGTACAGAGGAGCTGAGACAGCTGTCCTGCACTGAAGGAGGCAGACTTTGCCTGCATGCTTCCTGATCCTGAGTTGTAGCCTGTTGATCCTAATCCCAAGTTGTACCCTGTTCCTTAATAAACCACTTAACTGTAAGTATGGTCTGTGAGTTCTCTGTGGCCACTGCAACAAATTATCAAAACTAAAGGAGAAATAGAAGTGTTGTGGAAGGGATGACTGGTGTCAAAAGTGGTAAAAAGGTTGGAAAGTAGAGGTATGTCTGACCTCCACCTCATAGGGGATTAGCTTTGGACTGTTCTGGGTCATTATCCCCCCTTAAGTTAGACAAGTTCTGATGCTAGTACTTGCAGTGCAGTGAATTATGTAAAATGGCCCTTCTAACTACAATCTAAGGAACCCTGGTGGTGCACTGGTTAAGCGCTCAGCTGCTAACCAAAAGGTCAGTGGTTGGAACTCACCAGTAGCTCTGCAAGAGCAAGATGCAGCAGTCTGCCTCTGTAAAGATTTACAGCCTTGGAAACCCTGTGGAGCAGTTCTACTCTTTTCTACAGGGTCGCTATGAGTCAGAATTGACTCAGTGGCAGTGAGTTTAGCCATACGTAGTCTTTGTTATTCCCACAAAATGATTAAATGGGACTATGCAAGTAAGGTGCTTGTGGCCCACCCAGGAGACTCGACAGTCTGCTAATAATGCAAATAGGGTGCATGGAAACCCTGTGGGGGTGGGACCATGCAAATAAGGTGTATAAAACCCTAATGAGGGAATCAGTCGATTTTGTCATCCTGCTAGGCTTAAAATGAGCTCATCTCAAAAGCAAAAGAGGGGACCTCACTATCAACAAGAAGAACTGTGAGAGGAGCGCATCCTTTTGACCCAGGGTCCCTGAGTTGTGAACCTCCTAGACCCAGGAGACAGAGAGCTGTGTAACACCAGAGAAGAGATGGCTAGAAATGGCGGCAAGTACAGCAAAGTCTAGTGGCAAAGAATCGGTGCAAGAAAGTGCAGTGAGTTTCCCAGCCTATAGAGCAAGGTGGCTACAGCAGGCGTGCCATCTGGCCGCTAAAGCAGGAGTGTTGACCCCTGGAGCGAAAGAGCCAAATGCCTTCAGGCAGAAGGCTTGCTGGCAGAGTGGGATGCCTCCAGGCACTTAATGGCAGAGCTAAAGAGCTTTATAACACTTGACTGAGCACAGCAAAGGCCAGGCAGAGGGCTTAGGCCCAAGAGAGGGAGTCTGTCCTAAACGGGATGGGCGGAGCCTGTCCTAAAGGGGCCAAAAGGAACCTGTTTTTATGAGGCTGAGAGGAGCCCTGGATGGGAAACAAGAGACAGAGAGAGAAGTCCTGTGCTGAAGAAGGGAGACTTTGTCAACACGCTTCTTGATCCTGATCCTGAGTTGTAGCCTGTGGATTCTGATCCCATTATAACCTGTTAATTCCCTAATGAACTCCATAAACTATGAGTATGATCAGTGAGTTCTAAGTGGGCATTGCAACAAATTATCAAACCCAGCCCAGAAGTATAGAATGTCGTGGGAGTGACGGCTGGGGTCAGAACTGGTAAAAAGGTTGGAAGGTGCAGGTATGTTTGACCTCCACCTCAGAAATCAACCTTGGGCTGATGTTGATGGTGATTCCCTCTCCTATTCCTGAAGTTAGAGGAGGTTGAAAGCTGCCCATCATTTTTATATTACTATTACTACTAGTCCTATTTTACATGCATCTATGAGAATGCTGTTGTTCAGGACAATGTCCAACTACATCACCTCCAGGAAAAAACATCAAAGAAACTTACTCAGACAAAAGTTTCACGGAATACTGAAGTCCCCCAAGGAACTTATCTTCTTTTTCCTCAAAAACTGAGCATAGCATTTAAACTGTAATGATTCTCTTGGATTGGCCAGAGAAGTATTAAATGAAAGTTGACAGCTAATGTAACCCAAGGAATCCTAAGTCATATAATATGTTCAACATAAATAATTTAGTGTTAATACTATGAACAATATATTCCTGATCCTACATTGTCTGAAGTTGACGCGAAACTCTTATTTCTCTCTAGCTTCTACTTTTCCAAATTTATACTTTTCAGATGAACTGAACTGATATTTTACAGGCCTCTGCAAATCCATTAGGGAACAAAGGAAAGCATAAAACAAACCAAAAGTCACCTGAGCCATCACCATTTTCTTTTGTTCTTGAAACATTGCCAGTAACTGGAGATGCTTTGTCTGTGTTTTCTGTATCAGCTCTAATTTCTGTTCAGAAATTTCAGCCTCCCATCAAAGGTGTACCCAAACATGACAATAGTCAAGTCCTGTAACCTCTTCCTTCTTCCCTCAAGTGATCTCTTGTTGCTGGGGAGTCAGGACCTATAGGCTGAAGAGAAAGTTCAATGTGAGTTGTACATTACCTCTAGGCCGAGACGCTGTCATTGCTCCTGGCACTCTTACATGCATCCTCCAGTATTGTTGACAGTCCCTTTATTTGGACTTAGAATATTTTACACCCATGGGCAATAAAACTAAGATTCAAAATTTGGAGAGATATGGGTAAAAGAGGTCTTTTCAAAACATGGCACTTGGACAATCAAATATACATCGGTAAGGAAAAAAAAAAAAGCTTGATCCCTATCTCTCAACATATAAAACTATCAATTTGTCATCAAATGCGACTCTCAATGACAATGCCAAATCACGAAACCTTTAATAAACAAGTAAGTTTACATTAGGGTCTGGAAATATATTTTAAACATGCCACATAAAGCACTAACTATAAAATGAAGACTACTCTGCTGGAGAAAACTGTAAAGCTGTACAACCACTTTAGAAAACACTTAGGCATCATCTATTAAGTTGAAGTTATGCATACACTTTGAAATAATAATTTAAGTCTGAGTTTTAATCCCCCCATATTAGCGCACATTTGAACCACAACACGTGTACCAGTATTTTCAAAGCAGCATTATTTGTAGCAACTGAATGCAGTGTGATAGATCATTTTTGTATGGCCTTTTAAGCCATAGTCTTGTAATTCCTACCACGATTGGGTGGGAATATGCAAATAAGTTGCAAGGTGCCCCTGCAGGAGGGTGTGGTGCAGTGAATTACTTAATATGGCCCTTGCAACCATAGTCTTTGTAACTCCCACCAAATGGATGGGTGAGGACAATGCAAATGAGGTGCTCGTGGCCCACCAAGGGGATTGTTTAAATTGCTAATAATGTAAATAAGGTGCATGGCACCCTTTTGCTGTTGGAACCAAGCAAATAAGGTGTATGAAACTCTAACAAGGGGACTGATCAGTTTTGAGCTACTGCTAGGCTTAAAAGAGCAGTCAAACCCAGGGCATCATTTCTTGTGTTTGCTTTAGCTATCTGACATTCAAGAGTAAGTTTCAGAGTCTCTTCTGAAATCCATTTTGGTCTTTTCTTTCTTTTTAATGATCTCTTGCTTTTTTCATCTATGATATCTTTGATGTCATTCCACAATTCATGCAGTCGTCAATCATTAGTGTTCAATGCATGAAATCCATTCTTCAGATGGTCTCTAAATTCAGGTGGGATATACTCAAAGTCCTACTTTGGCTGTCATGAACTTGTTCTAATTTTCTTCACCTTCAACTTGAACTTGCATATGAGCAACTGATTGTCTCTTCTGCAGTCACCCACTAGCCTTGTTCCAACTGATGATATCGAGCTTTTCCATTGTCTCTTTCCACAAATATAATCCATTTGATTCCTATGTATTCTATCTCATGAAGTCCACGTGTATAGTCGCTGTTTATGCTTTTGAAAGAAGGTATTTGCAATGAAGAAGCCGCTGGTCTTGCAAAATTCTATCATGCAATCTCCAGCATTGTTTTTCACCAAGGCCATATGTTCCAACTACTGATCCTTGTTCAGTTTCCAACTTTCAATTTCAATCATCAGTAATTATTAATGCATCTTAATTGCATGTTGGTTCAATTTCAGACTGCAGTAGTTGGTAAAATCTTCAGCTTCTTCCTCATTGGCCTTAGTGGTTGGTGTGTAAACTTGAATAACAGTCGTATTAACTGGTCTTCCTTGTAGGCGTATGGATATTATCCTATCACTGACAGTGTTGTACTTCAGGAAAGATTTTGGAATGTTCTTTTTGACGATGAATGCGATGCCATTCCTCTTCAAGTTGTCATTTCTGGCATAGTATACCATATGCTTGTCAAATTCAAAATGGCCAATCCCAGTCCATTTCAGTTCACTAATGCCTATGACATCGATGTTTCTGCATTCTATTTCATTTTTGACGATTTCCAATTTCGTACATTCCACGCTCCGATTATTAATGGACGTTTGCAGCTATTTCTTCTCATTTTGAGTTGTGCCACATCAACGAAGGTCTCGAAAACTTGACTTCATCTACGTCATTAAGGTCGACTCTACTTTGAGGAGGCAGCTCTTCCCCAGTCATATTTTGAGTGCCTTCCAACCTGAGGAGCTCATCTTCCTGCACTGTATCAGATAATGTTCCACTGCTATTTATAAGGTTTTCGCTGGCTAATTCTTTTCGGAAGTAGATCACCAGGTCCTTCTTCCTAGTCTGTCTTAAAAGTCTGGAAGCTCAGCTGAAACCTGTCCACAATTGGCAACCCTGCTGGTATTTGAATATCGGTGGCATAGCTTCCATCATCACAGCAACACACAAGCACTCACAGTATGACAAACTGACAGATGCTTTGATAAGACCAATACAATGCACATTCTTGATTATCTAGTGCTACTATACAAGAAATACCACAAGTGGATGGCTTTAACAAACAAAAACTTATTTTCTCACAGTTTAGGAGAACAGAAGTCCATTCAGGGTGCCACCTCTAGTGGAAGGCTCTCTCTCTCTGTAGGCTCTGCAAGAAGGTCCTTGTCTCCTTGGAGCTTCTATTCCTGGATGGTCTTCATGTGGCTTGGAATCTCTCTTTCCCCATCACTTCTTGCTGGCATGCATTTCATCTCTTCTATAACTCAAGAGATTGCCTCAAGATACACGCTACACTAATCCTGTCTCATTAACAAAAACAATCCATCCCCAAATGGGATTATAACTATAAGCATAGAGACTAGGATTTACAACACATATTTTTGAGGAAAACAATTCAATTCATAACGTTCCACTCTTTGGCTCCCCAAAATTTATGTTCTTCCCACATGCAAAATAATGAATTATTTTGCATCACATCACTGCAAAAGTCTTCAATCAACTCCAAGTCCAAAAATCTCATCTTCTGAATCATCCAAATCAAATATGGGTGAGACTTCAGGCATATTCCATCCAGGGACAAAATTCCTTTTCATGTGTTAGCCTGTGAAATCTAGAGTACAAGTTATCTGTTTCCAAAGTACAATGGTGCAACAGACACAAGATAGACATTGCCATTACAAACAGGAGAAATTAGAGAAAAAGAAAGGATAAAAGGCACCAGGCAAGTCCAAAACCCCACAGAACATGACATTAGCTCTCAAGACTTGAAAATAATCCTCCCTTCTATGAAAACAACTGAGCAATAGCCCTGCCCTCTAGACTCTGGGTGTTGGCCATGCCCTTCATATTCTGGGTGGAGGTCCCTGGGCCTTGGGCTTCAGCTGTGCCTTCCAGGACCTCTGGGATGGCAACTCTGTCCCCTCAGCTTTAGGTTACAACATCTGCGTGATACCCTACAGTGCAGTGAATTACTTAATATGGCCCTTCCAGCCATAGTCTTTGTGACTTCCAAACAATGATTTGGTGTGCCCATGCAAATAAGATTATGAAATTCTGAGGTATGGTGGTTGGTGTTGTGTGTTGGCATGGCTAGACTAGGATTCCCAGTACTGTGTGGCTGTCCTCCATTTTGTGATCTAATGTAATTATCCTCTATTTTCTGTGTTGCAAATCCTAACCCATATTGTCAATGAAGCAGGATTTGTGTGGGGTGTATTCTGAGTCACTGCCTTGCAGGAGAACGTAACTCAAATCCAATCTTTACTCAAGTTACGCCCTTCCCTGGGGAGTGGTCTGCATCCAAAATGTATATATGGGTGCGCTGGCAGTGCTCTCTCTCTCTGTGCATCTGTATCTTGAATCCACCTCATCATTCTCTGACTCCCCATTCTTGGGACTTAGGCCAGGGGCCTGCCATCTGACCAGCAGATTCTGGGATTTGACAGCTTCTGCAGCCCTGTGGGACACCACCCTATCTTCTGACCTGATTCACCAGCTTCCGCAGCCTTGTGAGCCAGCGGCCTGTCGTCTGGCTCGCTGATTACGGTTCGTCGGCTCCTGCAGCCATGTGAGTCAGGGGAAGCCTATGCCTGACCCACGGATTTGGGACTTAGCCTCCATAACCATATAAGCCATTTCCTTGATATGGTTCGTGAGTTCTGTGAGACGTTGCAGCAAATTACGGAACCCAAAGATGGGAGAGTACTGACGGGAAAAAGAGTAGTTGATGTTGGAGATAATCGAGTGGTACAGCAATTTGGAAAAGCTGAATAGTTGGGACATATTTAACCTTGTCTCAAAAGAACCAGCTTTGTGCTGACCCTTGTAAAAAAGTATTGATTTATTCCCCCATCCCCTTCCCCCCGGCAGGCCCCATTCCTCTGCCCTTTGGGAATGGCAGCCCCGCTTCCTCAGGTTTTGGTGGTGGCCCCATCCGCTGGCACAACTTACTGGCAGCCCCACACTCCAGAACTGAATTGGTGAAGAACTGAAACCTAGGAGACTGTGAACTTGCACTTTGAAACCAAGAAGAGACTGCTTACAGTACTCCTTTCAACAGTTCTGCTTATTTCTAAGAGGCTACACGGATGGCCCTTTTCTTTTATGGACAACAAAAGACATAAGTTCTTTTGGCCTGTTTCCTGCCTGCAGACATCCAAGAAGCAAACAATGTTCTTTCCTTTCATTTTTTCTTTGTCTCTTTCAGTCTAAGCTGATGGGTCTTCTGCTGTGGTAGCTGGTAAGATCCATCAGACCCAGGCTTAATGTTTTAACAAAAGATGGTGTAGTCATGTTCCTGATAAACATTCTAGCACATGTCCTTGGTTGGTACAACAGAATTTTCCAAATCTTTAAGTTTTGGTTTCGTTTTGCACAGATTGTTTTTCAGTCCATTGTTTCCCTCTTGCATTTTACTATAAGCGGTGTGATGGTTAAGATTGTGTGTCATGCTGGCTGGGCCATGATTCTCAGTGTTTATATGTGATCACCCCCATGACGGGATCCACTGTGAGGAGCCAATCAGTTGAAAGGGATTTTCCTTGGGCGTGTGGTCTGCATCCAAATATAAGTGGACACTCTGGCTATTGCCTGCTCTGGATCCTGCAGCTGCCTCCTGTTCATCTGATCTCTGCTTCTTGGCAC